AGCATACCTAATCGTGCTCAACAAGCAGAGCAAGCCCATCAGCACTTGATCGCGCTACACTTTACAAGTAAAATTTTTATTAGAAACAAACAAGACTGTAAAGTTGTACTCCCCTGAAAGTGGAATATAAAGTCAGCCGGTCTTCCTATAAGCCGAACTTTATATCAGATTAAACACACACGGGAAGGAATGTATGATACCATGATGGCTACTCGCGGGCCTTATGAATAAGTTACGATTTTCTTCCGACCCAAAGAAAAACGAGTTGTCCTACTGGGGTTCGGATAAGTAGTGCGGCATCTCGGTACCACTTCAGGCTTAGTGCATCCAAAAGAAATGTTCTGCAGTAAGCGTAAACCGGTAATAAAAAACGTCCCAAAACAAATGCTCATTTTCCGAAAGAAATGGTCCAGAATAGCTTCACTTTAATAAGAACAAAGGTATGGAAACCCGAACGAAGTGTCTCTACCCCTCTGAAGATTGAGCGCATATAAGATACGTTTTTTCAAATTGGAAATCCTAATTTTCCTGTGAACTATTGCTCCGTTAGCTACTGGTCGAGAGATTCTGATTTCTGGTCACACTGGAACTCGCAAATCCGCCAGTCTAAAGATTACGCCTTGGGTGTGCAGTCCTGAAACTGGCATCATGGTAGTAGGCTCGTCAAAGCTGCTGGTGTGACTTACCACCTGGTTGAACATATTTAGGCGAGCATAGTGACACTATTTTTTCCTTCTTTGAAACCAGACGGCTGCGTGAGTTATATCACTTCTGGTTATCTTTCCTGCTCTATTAACCAATCTAGTAAAGACTCCACTTTATAATCGTGTGAATATAATTCTCACCTCAGCTTGTATCACTGCATAGTATCATTGCTTGTTAGAAAGCTTGTCCTCTTAGCCTGCTGCGAAATAATTCGTTTGTCTAATTCGAGTTGCAATAGTGACAGCGTCAAGGTGTAAGCAAAAGAATCATGTTACACGGATTTTGGTTCCTAAATATATATGGGTTAGTATGGCGCACCAGTCATAGTATTTACGTCCTGCCCACCGAACGTGTACCACTAGATCTCATTTGTAGTTGTATCTAATGCTTTTAGTGTCCAAGAGCCCTACCATATTAAGTCTGCTCTTTTTTCTCCCGTCATACTGACAGCTTCCCTGTGTCGTAAAATGAGATCTGAATGAAAAAAAGATGTTCCTTTCAAATTTTGTTTGTACGGAAGACGGTAGTTGATCTCAATACAGAACTGAACACTATGCTAAACGCAAACGAACTTAACATGGTTCTTCGAATCATTGCATCCTACCCCTCTCTCCCCGTTTTCTCCAACGTCGTTACTCAAGGGTTCTCCATACAATCTCTTGTGGAAAAGGGAACGAATAAATTCAGTCACGTTTGAGAAGGACTATTTTGCCATCAGTAGGCAACGCACAGTTCTGAATATACACAGCATTCAGTCTCCCCGCTACTTTCGTCCTAATTAAATCCTTTAGGAAGTGGTTGCCTAACACTTCAATCATCCGGCACCCACTCTCCCAAAACTCCCACTTCTCCGGGCACATCGGGCTATTCTCGGTCAATATAACCTGATGGTGCTCTACACCACAGAATAGTTTATCAAAGACCCTGTTCGCTTCCATTCGTTTCCACCGAGGACATAGAGCACGAAAAGTGCGTGGTTTTAGAAGTCTGCACAAGTAAAGGGTTGAGATGTTCTTGGTTACAAATTGTTGAACTACAAACCAGATGTTGGGGTTTGTTCGAGTTACCAACTGAACGTGAGGGCAATATGAGAGCCTAGCGAAATATACTCATTTCCAAACAAATTTAGTTTTGCGAGAGACTCATCTAGAACCCAGCTGAATCTCCCGTTTATAATTTTTTTCTAAGAAACTGAATGTGCTGCACAAGGCCGCTTCATGTTTCGGTTGGTACAATGTTCGAGATATCGCGATATATGTATAGATGTAATATACTACTTTCGATTTCTCCTCCCCGTCCCATTGCGATACGGATTACAGTACCTTTCAGGAAGAAGCCACCAGCAAATTAACCAGTCTCAAAAAATATAGATAGGATGAATGATGAAATCCTGGATTAGGCACAAACTGACAGCTTTTGTCGGGTGAAAGTATTTATGTAGTTGCATTCCGGTATGTTTGGATCGATCTAGTAGACAAAATCTATCGGTTTTCGTGTGATCTCCTGGATGTAGGTGCCTTCATGCTATATTTTTACAAGGACCTGAGTCGCGAAAAATCAGGCTTACAAAACGCATGCTTCAAAGATTTCATAGACAAAAATGTATGTTGAAAATGAAACAGTACGTTCCGAGTGTGGAAATTTGGGAACAGTTTCCTCCTTCAGAGGGCTACGTAGATGGATGCATGCTGTGAGGATCGGGTTATCCATAGAACAAAACGGTATTTTTGATCTTGTTCAGTTTTGATGGTCGCTTTTCTTCAATGTAAGACCAAGTATAAACATGACGATGTCAAGACAACACAAACAACCGAAAAACCCGGGCCAATGTACCTCTCACATGCTAGTGGATGAGCAGCCCAAATGCATCGCTGGGATACTGATAAGCGTGGTGGACAACTAGAGTCCAGATAAATCATCTTCCACTATACAGATGGTGGTCCATTTTGAATGTAACTGCATAAACGAGTTTTCTCGAATTTATGTAGATCTCGCCGTGGAATTTTTAGGTCCTAACATTTCCAACTTACAAGTACCCTCAGTCAAAATGAGGAAAACAAAACAACTTGAGTTGTGTCCAAGTGGTGTGGATAATTATGGAAAACAAAAAAAAATGTCGGCTAAAAGTTGCTCTGCGTATCGTCGCAGAATCCGTAGAAATGACTTCCGTAAAGCAGTTGTTTTAACGGTCCACTATATTGGTGTTGCTATCCTGCTAAAGATGTTTAAGACACCACAGATGGTGAATTGAACGTCTCTAGTGCCCTCCCTACTCACGAGTGCATACCAATGGGTATTTTGTGAAGTCTTTACAAATCCTTTGAATAATAAGTCACTTGCAGTTTTACAAGTGTGATGGCAGCACGTTTATCTCACCTGACAGATGTCTGTTGTACGAACATTTGATTAGTTTGTTTCGTTTCAGCAGTCAACACATTGAAAAGCAAGCAAATGATGCATTCTAAATGCACCTTTTGTCAATTGCCATCTCGCACGTAATATGTCATCGCTTTTTGGGTCACACATTACCATCAAATACGCCTAATTTCATGCAACCCTGGAGTCTGCCCGTCTAAGGTTAAGTTAAAATTAAACGTATTCAAGCGAAGTTGCTCGTGTAAGTTACTTTAGGGGGAAAAAATCAACATTTTCACGCAGATGAAATCCGTCAAGAATCTCGCAATAGCCGGAAGTCAAAATCATTCAGTTCGATGTTTGGTTTTTAGTATTCTCCGTCATTAGTGCGTGGCAGTAGACAGCAGGGTGCCACACGCGTAAATCCCATTAGTATAAGATATTCGTCACTGGAAGTGCTGACAATATAGGGAATCACTCATTCGCTGATTTCGTCTAGATTTCCTAGACGCGTATTACTCGAAATCCGCCTGAAACTCAGTAGTGGATTTCATCTGGGGGACAAAGCTTAGTTAGTGAAATCTTTATGATGGAAGCCCAGATACCGTTCCGGAAAACGGTAGCTAAAAATCTATCTAAACAGTAGAGCGGACGGTTTGAACTTTATGCCCTTCACTATCCGTTGTTATTTGCAAAGTTAAATTTCACTTCACTAACCTACCTAAGAGGTTGCACTTAAGTCTGCATTATCAAAGCTTTTGCAAAAATGTGGTCCTGATTTATCATTGTAATTTCACTACTGTTGTTGTCACCATTATTAATCTCGTGTGCGGCCAGTGCAACACCACTGCTTCAAAAAACAACTTCATTCACGTTATGACAGTCATATAATGGACTTTACGGACGAATTAATTACAACTAAAATGTCACCCATAAGACTTTGCCTAGATTTTGCATCTAATTATACACCGCCTACCGCACTCAAAAGTGAGTACACGCTTAGCCTACCAGAACCAACACCGGTTCCAAAAACCGTGAAAAATTTCCCCGTAGGTTGCAGGTCATGCTGTCAACACCGCGAATACAATCAAGTGGCTTTGAATCACTCATGTTGTTTCCACTGGTAAAACATTCGAAAAATGACGTAATACTGGCAATAAACGTTTGCTCAGTATATTGGCATCCCCTGTCTGCTTTAAGATGAATTCACATATGCACCAACCACTAAGGCAAAAAGCGCAGGACAGTGTATGCATCAAAGTAAATTCTCTATGGTTAGTGGTAGCCACGAACCGGTCTTGGTTGGCTGTATTTTAACAGGAACAAAGCGTTCTCACTGGTGTTTATGTTTTTAGTAACTGATTTGTATAAAATTAACATAGAAACAACCACTCACTCAGCACTAAACATGAAAAATCCCAGCCCAAATTCCTATTTGATCCGCCCTACTTATCAACTCCACTTATCAGAACCCGTGGACTTCACATCGAAACGCTTTAAAATAAAAACTGTAGACCCAAAATAAACATTTCCTTTAAGTGAATTTTGTTTTTTTGATTCGTAAAACGAAGAAGTACAATCAACAGGTGTAAATTAGTTAAAATACCTTGCATCATGCTAGATCGCGTGGATGTTAGACTTGCCTAGATTACCCGGACTAAAAAACTTTAATATCACTGTTCTTCTGAAGTTGGTAATGGACGCAGCAGGTGGCAAACTTTTGTCCGCCGAATTTAAAACCAATAACAATGAAATTCTGCGCCTGTACTTGATATGGTATTGGGAGCCATCCACAACCCAACGTGTTTTTTACTGAGGTCAGGCGTGAATAGAAATTAGTCACTAACTCCCTATGAATGATAATTAGCCTGAGGGTCCTTTGTGTGTATGGTGGGTAAGAACATAGTAGCAAATTACAGTGGAACACTTTGATAACTTACCGATTGGCACAAATATTGATCTTGATAAGAAAGGGAATGATAATAGGAATATCGTTTTTCCCACATCCACATGGTAGATTTGTTGATAGAAAGATTGCATGCAAACGGATGAAATCTGGAATGTCCAGTCATCTGCTGCGTATGTCACGAATATAGCAAATATTGGCCTGGACCGAAAGATGGCCTGCCAAGGTATGTTGGTTTGTCTTGTGCTATTCAGTACTCTACTGGATATGTTTGAATGCAAATAAGCGCGCTCCCTTTTTCCCAGTTTTTCATCTCTTGCTGGCTTCTCGTCGATTAATCTCCACCAGAATATACACCAAATTAAACCCAGGTTTGCATAAATGTAGAATACAACACCCCACCCCCATTTCTTCTCGATTTCAGCACACACTGGTAGGCCAATTAGCGGTCCGAGGGAGACGCCAATTACGGCAACACAAACGAGGGTGGATCTCTCGGCTTCTGGAGCCCAGAATCGAAGCACTCCAAACACAGCCGGTATTAGACATCCTTCGGCCAATCCCTGCAATATTCTCAGCAAAACCACCATGATGAACTTCGCGTTCACATTGCTTCCAATGGTCTCGACTAAAGGCAAAAATAAATTCATTCCACAAGTCATTGCTACAGAGCAGCCAAGTAAAAATGACGAATCATGATTCACTGTCAAATACCCTCCAATAGGGCTAGTAATCAGGTAAGCAAAAAAGACTGCATTCTCAACAATATCGTTCTTAATTGTCGTTGTCCAGGGCATTTGACGATGTTCAGATGGTTTGAAAATTAACGACGCTGGCTGACGTTTAGGCGAGTTACTCAATCCCGCCACAATATGTAATCCATCCTGGTTATGCAGTGACTCATCAGAGTGTGATGGGGCAACTTTTACGGAGGAGTCCGGCAAGCGGAAGCGTGTAAGACTAGTAGGTTCATTTCCAAACAATTCCTTTTCAACTAGATCACCGTCAAAGTGGGTTAATGGCACGTTCACAGAGTTGGTGTTGTTCAAATTTGTAATAATCCCCAGCATTTCTGATCGCATTCCGATAACGATGGTCAAACAGGCACAACATAGGAATGCAATCACATAACGCTTACGTCCTGGACCACAAAAGCATGTATCTGGCTCTTTTGTCTGCACTGTGCGCTGGGAGGTCGGTGGGATAGAATCCCTACCAAGTAAAGGAGTTTGTACAGGAAGGACCGCCTGGCCATTGAGTAAGCACCCGGGTGGTAAGTGTTCACTCAACGAGTAAACCTTGCCTCTTGTTTGTGTTCCATTAATTCCAAAATTTCGATCATGTCCACTCAAACTACCGGTCGAATTTGAATGAGAGGCATTAGGGGAGTCGCATTCAAACGCACTAAGGAAACTGGCGCGCCCTGTTGTATCCTCACAAATACAGTTATTACGGTCGACCACGTCGACCTCCAAAGGTCGAAAAGGGGCATCATTCATGATTCGTAATCCGGTGCATTCATTATGCAGTTAGCCGACACACTTTGCATTCCTAGAAAGCGATTCTCAAATGGATGTTTGTTTTGTGTGAGTCTACCTCGATTGATAAACGTTGTTTTCATATGCATGTCACAGAGGAACGTGCCAGAAAACCACTAATTATTTACTTTCGACCCGTTTCTACTGGTCTGTCCGCATGATTTCGTCAGGGCGATTCATGATTGGTCGGAAGGCTATCACATATATGTCAGTCTATCCTCTTCTTAAAAATCTCAAGGGAACTGCTCGAATGACTAGACCAGGACAGGCCAGTATGTTTCGAAAAACGTTACCTAAGTCACCTCACTGAGGTCAGTGATATGTCTTCGGCGTCCTCATCAGTTAATAGATAGCATTTCCAGTTCATAAATACCTCGACTGACAGCGTTTGGTTAACTCTAATCGAAATAAGCTCGCGATTGAAGTACAGTTAATCCTAACAGCTGATTTAATATAATTTAACCTCCACTACTGTAATTAAATTCTACTTCATCTCCAAATTTGGCTGCATGGGCAGGGGAAATGAAAACCCGAAGAAAAATATATTGAGTAAACATAAGTTGGGATCCGTTGTATTTCCCGTAGCTCGCCGTGAAATTTATAGTATCAAACGCCACTATCCAAAAATCAGAACTGATCAACGATTCTGCTGCTGCCCTGTTGCGTAATCCTTACCTTCTAAATAACATCAAAACAGTTCAAGCGACTCTGCGTAAAATGTTGAACGTTCTGCTCAAGCGGATTGAAATGGGTTTGAAGATGAATAATTTAGTGAAACCGAGCGAAATTGTTATTCTGTTCGTCCAGCCTGGTAGTTTTTTGCAAACGCTTTGTCACTGATGATGCCCTCAAGAATGGAGATGAAAAACCTGCAAGCGAAATACCACGTACGGCGAACAGAGTAATGACCACCTGATCTATATCTACTTAACGAACTCTGGCTAACAACACTTCGATAAGCTACTGACAATCGCGATGTGTCTTACAGATGATGAGTAACGATGCGCGCGGAGATTTATTTCTAGGCATAATTCAGGTCATGCGCAAACATAATCCATAAGGAAACGCTCCAGTTTTGACTACAAACGATCGTCGAATATGAAACCACTGATACCATCCTGGCTTGGAAGACATTTCTTGAGACTCCACCTAGTTCTAAACTAGCTATATCCGGTCTCCTAAAACACTGACGTGCATACAAAAACAGGTCAAAAATCAACAATATCATAACCTACTTTGGGATGTGAACTTTTCTTTGAACATTTTACTGAAGATTGTTCTCAAATGCCAAGCCATGTGAAACGCAATGTCACAGGTCACACTTCGCCCAAGTCATTCGGTTTAGTTGACGTTACCATGCATAATGCTTTACTGATAAATTTGGACAGGGGATGAGAACAGCAAGTTTGTACGGTGAATTCATTCCACAAAATGTGTAAAACAGCATGAAATACATAAGACAATGAAACTAACAACACTCATAATTCTAAAATCACCTGCCCGATCAACAAATTCAAGGCAGCCCAAAGTGACATAATGCCTTTCTGACTTCCTAAAAGACAGGCTTGAAACGATTAGCCAATGTGGCCTCAGGAAATTTCGACCTCTCTGGACACCCAATTCTTGCTAAGACATGCATTGACATTTTTCTGAGCAACTATCCGGAATCTCACCTGGTCTTCGTCTGCTTTCCACGTCCGTTCTTAAATCCTCAGTTTACTACATATTAATTTCTACTCACAGAGGACCACCTGTGAGCAAGATGCATCGGGGCTACTTCTGGGACCGAACATAGCTGATATTTTTATGACAAATCGAACAGTCGGCGGAAGCCGACCCACAACAAGCATCCGCGAATCAAAGATGTCATTAGAAGCGCCCAAACATAGTCTGTTTTTAGTGGTCTCCAACAGAACACTTTGTTCAGCTGTGAATTTGAGCCACAAAACAAACTTTTTTGGGTGGTTTATCATTAGAAATACAGACGAAAGTATGTTTTACTGCGTTTACTGTGTTTCACTGGACAAGCTCTCAGAGCTACGCGTTTCTGTCAGTTACGTTCAAAGATGCTTTGTTGCTGACTTTATTCCATACAGCTGGCCAGATTTGCACCTCAGATTGCCTTGCGGAAAACGAATTGCACTATTGTTAAATCATTACCATGACACGTTCATTGAAAAGCACCTGGCTCCGAATGATGAGACGAGAGTGAAACTCACAGTACCAAATGAACATTCGTGTTGACACTTTTTACACCGAGGACCATGCGTTTGGCCTGACTTACAGGAGCGCAGTTGTGAGCGAAATCTACCCCACTGGGCTATCCCACTTTCCTCAATCAAAATATCAACCTCATTTTATCTACGACTGACAAGATTCACTATTTAACCGCAGTTTTAGATGATAAATATATTGACAGAAGTGACAGATGGCTTCAACTGCGAGCACAGGAGTGCTTTCCCAAACATATTTGTCCCACGTCGGTTGACCTTCACTCAAGGGCGACGGAATTCAGGATCATCAGTCGCCGGGTATCTAACGGTCAAAGGTCACAGAGTTGAAGTTGACTCATCACGAATTTGGCGTCCTCAGGAGTCGAAATTCTTTGAGGTCACATTGGTTAACCGTTTCAAGCCTGTCCTTTGGGAGGTCAGAAAGACTTGAGGTCACTTTGAGACTGCTTTGGATTTACTGACCGGACGTGATTTTAGAATTGTGTTGTTAGCTTCACTTATGTATCTCATGCTGTTTTACAGGTTTTTCGGTAAAACTGAGTACACGAAATGAATGAATCTCACCATGTTGCTTTATTCTCACCACCCTAAAATGGTGGCGTGCGCAGCAACCATCATCCCAGCGTAACATTATGCCGATATCTTTACTATGCTAGGATAGATCACAAATCACGTTATCCACTTCACTGTAGAGAGGTAGCTGATTTTGCACTTATGAAAGCACTCCTTATCAAAAATGCATTTGGCACCGTCATCTATCAAATCCGGTAACTTTGGTCAGCAGTGCCGCGTGGACGACTGCATAATGTTCGGAGGTGCGGCCGGATAACGAACGGGGTTAATGCCAATCTATCTAGCTTCGACCAGTTGACTAAAGCACAGAATAGTAAAGCAAACTGAAGCAAGTGCATCCTCTGATCAAGGTACGTGGCTGGAAAAGCCCTAATTAAGTGATTAATCTACAAACCTCTTGGTCGGCATTAGGACCCTGTGAATGAAAGATGTCATGTCTTGTCACAGAATAACTCAAAGTCTAGCGAATCAGGAGAATGTCACTGTGGTTTTGTTGCATTGTTTATTTTCCTCCTATTGCCCTGGATCAGTTCGTGTAGTTTCATATTTTCTGCTTCATACAAGCCATCGATAAGGTTTCTGTATCCACTGTTCACTTAGACAGCACTTCAACTTGATGTTCACTACATCTAATAAACTTGCCAGGACGGTTGGCTCCAAACTCCTGATTTGACGTACAAGTTGAAGAAACGCTAGCTCCAAACAGTATAGCCCTCATGCTCTACACTTTCACGGCCTTCTGGGCATCTATCAGGGTAACAGGTATGCATACGTTCACCAGCTAAATGCATCCCAGCACTGATTTCATCTTGCGTAGGCTTATCGCAAAGGTCTTGGAGGTTTTCGTGCGACACCACTGAACCGAGTTCCAAAACTACTATGGCATGCCATAGTTGACACAAGGCAGTTCGATGCGATTGAGGATATGGCCTATACGGTGGTATGGAAAGATGGCAAAGCTTAGTGATTCCGCTGATGACCCAAATAAGGAATATGCTGCCGTATTATTCTCCTAATTTGTCTAGTACTTTGTCTAGCAATCTACCGTACAACAACCAGGAATGTGTGCAAGACCGTGTTTTGGCAATAGGTCGTTTCGGGTATATTTTCTGCTTCTCACCAAAGAGTGAAACACAAAGCTAGTCAAACATTCAAATTATGACCAACCTTCTTTCTATTGGAGATAATGAAACATGTAGACTTTATATGGTGTTCAAAAGTATCTTCCTATTTATCTTGTGCGAACGTCATGAAATGTGTAATGATAGAATGAGTAAAGGTTCCACTAAAATTCCATCGGTACAGCATCATCGGTGAAGAGTTTCATGAATAAGAAGTGTATTCTGAATGCTCAGACCAGAAATGATCAGTTTATTGAAACGATTGTAAGAAAAAGTTTGACATTTGGCAAATCAATACAGTCGGAAATAAGTTTCGTCTTTGCTACGAGGGGCAGATCTAGGAAAAGGCAGTGACGTATGTGGAGTTCTTCTACGTTCTTTTAATTCAAACGTGATTTGGAGCCTACGTTGATAGAAACGCGGACGTACGGTTTTCAACGTGTCTGCTAGCGATTCAGTGGTTAAGTGGAGAAAATTAGCTCTCAAACTACATAGTTTTAGCATGTAGCACAAGAAAAACTGACAGCCCCATAACCGCCAAATCAGTGGACTAGAACGACTGAATGAAGCGTCATGGTCGGTGAATTTGTAGTTTGACTGCTTTCGACAGTCTGCTGGCGACTTTGTTCTATCCGATCATATTTCATTCGATCTTTGCATTATATTGTTATAATATTATATTGTTATCATTGAGTGCGTAATTTATGCGTATTCAATCCTGACAGTTGTAGGTATTCAAGTGTCCTTGTCTCAACATGTTACCATAACGTCACTTTGTTTCGGAATACTGCCGGGATTCCAGAGCGTTAATGTATCAACTACCTCTGACGTGGTATGTAGAATTGATATGTTAACAGATACAAGTAAAAGGATCGGGTTAGAAAATCCTTGGGTTGACAGCTAAAGCAAGAAATAACTCGATGTCTGTGCTCAGCTACCACAGTCTTCACAACGAAATGACCGTCGACATTTAAGCCCTAACAATCAACACAATAAACAACGTAGAGTTGATGTAAGCATCCAAGAAGTGCGG